ATCTTATGAATAAAATTGCGTATTAACCAACAAAAAAAGTGGAATTATCTGGTTCAGCGCGCAAAGGAAAGGGTGTGCCCCGGTTTACCAAATGGCCTATAATCTGCGCGTGGAGTGCTAAATAGGAAATACCCAGAAAACAACCCTCTCTACAATTTTTATTTGGGATCAACTGGATCTCAGCGGACTGAGATATAACGAAGTCAGTCAAGTGACAAAACTTATAAAAAAGAAGAAACAAAAAATTTACACGGATATTCATGTAAGATCTTATGAATATAGCAACGTCTAAAAATTCATTAAGTTCGTCGACTGAGATTTAGCAATCTTATTTTTATTTCTGAGCTGCCTCAAAAGATGGGCTGCTGCATGGCCGATGGTGCTGACGGCCCATAGTACGTCTGCGTGTTAACCCACATCAGCGACAGAATGGAGACGAAGAGCACCGACCAGAGCACGGCGATGGTCGGCGCCCGTTCCCGCCGCGATAGGAACCCCCTGAGGAATCCCTGCAGATGCGCCACCACCCACACGGCGAACACCAGCTTCCAGCCCAGCGGGGCCCACGACTCGTGCACGTGGTCCATCCCGTACGACACTGCCACCACTACGCCGGTGAGGTTGCCCAGCAGCACGCTGATCGGCGGCACTAGTAGGTTCGTCCACACCACCGACCAAATGTAATAATTCTTCATGAAATTTCAGCTCATCTGGAGTTGTGCAGAATAGGTATCTCTGATGTAGATTTTTCAGGTCCAGAATTCTAGCTGCCGGCAATCTCACTCTTCATGTAAATCTTGCAAATTAAGAGAGAAAATGCATTAGAATTGCACCACAAGGTATTATATTGATAAAAATTGTTATAAATAATAATAGGAAAACATGATGCAAAATGAACGTATCAGACGACGATCTTCTCCAAGGCTTAGTGGGTGCTATCCTACGATGGGACAATGGTGAGATAATTATTGTAGGCAACAGGAAGAATGATCAATTGGTGCTTGGACGCTCTTACGACAGAGGTGACTCTTTGCTTCGAACTCTTATTTGTTCCAACCGCCAAAGGAAGGGGGAGATGGTATAAGTTGCAACACTAATTTTCGATAATTTCTATCATATGGCATGTGAAATTACTCAAACTCATTTTAAGCATTGGCCCAAAGAATCTATGTTGTTTCCCATGAGTTGGCTAGGGCTCGTTTTGCTTGTCGTTTCCTATGAGGTGGCTAGGATGGCTAGGGGTTCGTTTTGCTTGTTGTTTCCTTTGAGTTGGCTAGGTGTCCATTTTGGTCTGAGCAGATCTAAGATGTACCCACATATCTAGCCCCATCTTGTTAAATGATATAACTCTTCACAAATCAATAAGAAAAAGGGAGTTCTTTATATAAAAAACTTTTAAAAAAATCCTTTGAGAGAACAACATTTTTTAGGGAACAGAAAATAGTGAGCTCCTATTCCGCGCTTCAGGTGCTAGGGAAGCTCCCTAGGGCCCACACGCCAACGCTGGTGGGCCGGTCCATGTAGATTTCACATTTTATTTCCCCTGGTTCACTAGATCACATTTTCAAAAAGAAGAATAAAAAAGGGATAATATTTGAAAAAATGGAAAAATCATGAATTTTAAAAAGTTCATGGATTTTGAAAAAAATATGAATTTAGAAAAAAGTACATCAAATTTAAAGAAAACTCGTGGTTTTTGAAAAAGTTCATCAAATTTGAAATAAAGATTGCGAAATAAAAAATTTCATCATTTAAAAAAATACCATTGAATCTGGAAAAAAGTTCATCCATTTTGAAAATGTTCATCATTTTTTTTAAATGGCATGAGAATTGAAAAAAATCATCAACTTTAAAAAAATCATCGAACTTAATTGTACATTTTTGAAAAAATTAAAATAAAAATTGAAAGAAAATAAAAAGAAGAAATCAAAAAATAAATAAAACCGGTCCAGAAAAACCGAAAATGAAAAATGAAAAAACAACTCAACTGAAGAAAGTATAAAAGGAAATATTTCATTACAATGTGTCATTTGCTTGGTTGGTTAGTTCGAGTTAAACATAAGGAGGAGGTCGTCGGTTCGAATTTCAGCGGCAGACCCCTTTTTGCGTATTAAACCAGAAAAAAAGTGGAATGGTCTGGTTCAGCGCACAATGGAAAGGGCGTGCGCCGGTTTGCCAAATGGTCTATAATCTGGGCGTGGAGCGCTAGATAGGAAACACCCATAAAACAAGGGCACCGATAGGCGCCGGTGCGCCGGCCGAATCGTTCGGCCGGTCCAGCCCGGACCGTTCGATTTGAGCCACGCAGCCCCTGGATCCCAAGCAAAAAAAAAACGAATCGCCCCAAGCTCTCTTCTTCCTCGGGCAGTCAGTTGGATCCCGTTTGGGGGAGCGCGACGCCGCGCCTCCTGTCCCCTCCGGTGGTCGCCGGTCCCCACCCTCGCCGGTCTTCCTCGTCGCCGCCGGACCCCCACCCTCGCCGCCCGTCCTCGTCGCCGATCCCTGCCCTCGCCGCCCGTCCTCGTCGCCAGTCCCCGCCCTCGCCAGCTGTCCACGTCGCCAGTTCCCATGCAACAACTCCACCTGCGTTGCAGCTCTTGATGGCGACGGTTGTGGCTCGGCCGCCGCCCCTCGCCATTGATGCTCGCCGTAGGAAATTATATCGACGGCGACCGTCAGTCAATCAACACCGTTTTGAATGGATGTAGCAAAAAACTTCACCCGTAGTAGCGAAAGTAAACTACGGTTGCAGCAAAAATCAAACACCGTCGCCGTCTTTCGCGAGGTCGCGACTCCGCCTTACATGGATGTAGCAAAAAGCTTCACCGATAGAAGCAAAAATCTACTATGGTTGCAGCAAAAATCAAACACCGTCGCCGTCTTTCGCGAGGTCGCGACTCCGCCTTACGTGGATGTAGCAAAAAGCTTCACCGATAGAAGCAAAAAATCTACTATGGTTGCAGCAAAAATCAAACACCGTCGCCGTCTTTCGCGAGGTCGCAACTCTGCCTTACATGGATGTAGCAAAAACTTCAGC